TGAATTGTTATTTTTGGAGTTGCGACTAGTAAGAAAATTATAACACTCATCAGACTTCTACAGTTCTACACAAATAGCCGCGCACCTCGCTGACACAGGGCATGCCACTAAATCAGCTGACGCTTTCAAAATTATCCATCAGGCCCCGGCGAACCGGTCGAACTACGTGCGTAAAAGAATACTAGAAGCTGCCGAGAAAATTGCGATTCGACTGTATAACCCGGAGCTGTTTATCCAGAAGAAGCTAACTAGAGGGTTGGGACTACCCTGACCCAAACGCCTGAGGACCTCTGACCCGTGAGGTCAATTGTCGTAACCTAACGCACAGTCAATGTCAGTATTTAACTCGCTTCTGGACTAACGACTGGTAATGTCTGTCTACCCATTTTGTTTTTATTTGTATATAACTGTAGGAGTTTGGTGAGGAAGTATCGAAAACATGTGTGAATTGTTTCAACTCTTCTATGGCTTCATGTGACAGGCCTCGAGCAGATCCCAATATGTCTGCAGTTACGTCCCTTTAACTGAACTTGCTCCCCACTGTCTTCTTGGTCAGGTTGTCAGTAATGAATGAATCTGGTGAACGGCTCGGTCCGTAGCTTAAAGGTAGATAGCTTGTCTTGTAATCTGACGGCGCGGGTTCTAACCTGCGTAGGTGCAGGGCGACCATCCCAGTATCCTTAGCCCACGTGCAACTGGTGGTGGTTGCGCGGCAGCGAAGTGCCGGTACGCAGTACGGGCGTACTGCTGATGCCTTTCTTTCTGGTGAACGGAGTGCTGACTAATTGCCCAAAGTGTGCCTTAAAATGTATTTGACGCCTGCTGTACGCCCAACTTCATGGGTCTTAACTTCGTGTGCATCTCTGCAACATCGATCAGTTTAATTGTAGCACGGAAACAGGTTTCGTTGATCACTCAGTTTCAGCGTGCCCGTAACATTATGAAATGATGACGAAGAGCCTCGGTGTTGACCTGAAGCATTGGTGAGTGACAAGACCCGTGAGATGGAAAACGGTCGTGCTGTTTTGAACAGCCAAGTACGGCTCCAACTTTTGGGAACACGGATTAAAAAACCTTCAATTGGTAAGACAGTAGTTTGAAAAGCTTGACACTTGATCCATTCCCAGGCTCTTCTACTGACCTATTGGACCAGACATTTTTGAGAATAGTTCCACGGGCCACCTGTGACACCGCCACTTGGTATCATTTCTCCCAGCCAACTATCCTTGACCTGGGGACATTTGTCGAAACACGAGAATAACTCACTAATTGTTGGACTGGCTGCTCTTTACAACACCATTTGGGCACTAAAGAGTTGCCTTCAGACTAGCGACTATCAGCTGTGGTCCCCATCACCAAAAAGTTCAAAGTAACTTGTGCTAAGATCACCTGGTCAGTATATCCATCTCCACCACCTCTAGACTTCTTACGGACGTCATTCTGCAACTACTCGCGGATGTTCGTGGGCGCTCATTTATTTTGAACCGGGTCGCGGTTGCTTGTTCTCATATATATTCTTTTCTAATGTCTACCAGAAAATCGTCTTCGATTGTTGCTCGTATTAACTCGCGGCACTAGCTATCGTTGCAGAGTCCGCTGAGGAAACCCCTTACCATTTTGAAATCTCTTTACCAGGGCTTCGGACGCCGAATAAGGGTTTACGCAACGAAACGACCTTAACGTGATGCGACGGTTTGTGTACCTCAATGACCCATTGAGCTATACTGAGTGGCGCCTCCGGGCCCCTTGAGAACTACTCCTACCAGGTTGGTCAATGATGAGAGGTCAGGCAAACTCAGTCTCCTGGTCCTCCGGTGTTGGGGTTTTAAATGGGATGGCGTCCATTTCTGTAAAGCTAGATCATTGCCACCTCCCCGCTGCCAAATTCTTCGCTTGAGGACCCTATTTGTCCTCCTGTCTAGATCTGGGCGCCCTGACAGTATCTCAGCCCACATCCAACCATGACATTTTCTACAAACATAAACTTCATCTTGCATCGGCCGTCGCACAGATTATCAAGAGTCGCCTTATCTGCTACATACAGCAGGGCGGATAAGCGCAAACATGCTACTGCTGGCGCCTCTTTTCTCTTCCACCTTTTTCTCTTACTCCCATCCCGGCCCCTATTAGTAACCTTCCTTCTATACTTCCCAGTTTAATTGACAACAACCGAAGTGCCACTGGAGTAGAACCATCTGCAGCCACCATCCCACAACACCTATCGGACGTCTATCGGCAAAAATCTCTTATAAGGCCACGCTATCCCGTTTCCATGACGACTTTCAACGTTCGCACTCTAAGACGAACAGGTCAACAAGCTGCACTCGCACGCACCTTGGACACACTGGGTATTGATGTGTGTTGTGTGTCCGAAACTAGGATCAATGACCCTAATGGGGTTATTGAATTAACTGCACCCGGCTTATCCTCTCGTTATTGGTTGCACGCATCCGGAGACGCCGATGCAGCACTCACTGGTCAAGCTGGTGTAGGTATCATTCTAAGCTCCAAGGCTGAGCCATCGTTGGTTGATTGGATTCCGGTGAACAGCCGTTTATGTGCAGCCCGTTTGACGACATCAGCTAAGGTTGATTCACGAAGTAGTACCAAACGCTGTTGGTTTGTGATTTCCGCTTATGCTTCCACCGACTGCAGTTCAGATGTTGTCAAGGACACATTCGATGACGAACTGAACGCGCTACTACGCAGTGCTACTAGTTCAGATATTATAGTACTTGCAGGGGATATGAACGCACAAGTAGGGCGTCTGAGCTCTTCAGAAGCTCAGCTGGGTGGTAATTATGGGCTTAACTCCGAAGGGACTGACAATGGTGAGCGTCTGCTGCAACTGTGTGCGGAGCACCAGTTGTTTCTTACTAGCCCTGCTTTTAGACACAGTGGGCGCCGAAGTGCCACTTGGCGTCCTCCTGTAGCTGGCCAGCGATGGACCCAAATTGACCACATTGCCATAAGTTACAGATGGCGTGGTTCCATATGGATTGCCGTTCGTACTGGAGTGCCTGTGTTGACTCTGATCATGCCTTAGTTCGTTGTCGTTTCTCCATTAACTTTACCGGGAGACGCACCAATCCGCTCCCTCGATTGGCAACTGAGAAATTGTCTCAGCCGTCGGTCAGGTAACCCTATCAAGACGCACTGCGTGCCAAACTTTCGCTTTCTTATCCTAATGACACTGAGCTTCAGTGGAATAGGATCTCGGCTGTTATGCACGACGCAGGAGCATCTGTTTGTGACATTATCAATCGCCACCGCACCAGGCGCTGAATATCCGGAGAGGTCGGTGAACCTGTTGGAATCTAGAAGAAACCACCCGGCTGACTCTGAGCACAATGTCATCAGATGGACGATTAGGCGTGAACTAAAGCGGCGCCAGCGCGCTGACAAGGAAACCTGGTAGACCAGTATGGTTCAAGAAATGGAGGAGGCAGGAGCAGTGAGCAATTACCGCAAGCTCTTTCAGATGCTCCGCACCACTGGTCCCAGGAAACCAGGCGTCAGTGAGACAATCAGAGACAGCGCGGATGCACTGATACACAGTAAGGAACGCCGTATGGCTCGTTGGACCGAGCACTTTCGAAAGCAGTTTAGCTGGACCCCTGCTCCCGGGTGATACAGAACGAGCCATAGACGATTAGTTTAGAGCCTCTGTCGGAGGCCGAGGTCCGAAACACAATCACAACCCTTAATCGTTTTCTTGCCGCTGGCCCGGATTCGCTCCCACCTGCACTATTTAAGGATGGAGGTGAGGTCCTCTGCAAAGCACTGGCCTCCCTATTCGAACGTATCTGGAAGGAAGAGGGTGTCCCGGCTAATAGGAGCGAATCGACCATAGTGGCCATATACAAGAAGGGCAGTCGCACAATCTGCTCCAACCACAGGGGTACTAGCCTAACTCCAATTGTGACAAAATCACTGGCCTCGATTCTCGTTCGTCACCTCACTGTGGAACGAGAATCTCGGAATAGTGAAGAGCAGACAGGTTTCTGCCCAGGAGGTGGCTGTATAGACCATATATTCACTTTGCGGGAGGTGCTAGAGCAGCGCCATGCATACCACAGACCGACAATAGCTGGGTTCCTCGACCTCAGGAGTGCGTTCGATTCAGTCGATGGATGCATTCTGTTCAAAATACTTGCGCGGAAAGGTGTTCCCGCGCAATATGTGAACGCTTTACGTACTCTTTACTCAAACACTACAGGCCGCGTCAGGGTCTACGGTGACCTGTCGGGTAGCTTTCCGACAACAAGTGGCGTTTGTCAGGGTTATCCGACTTCCCAATTTTGTTCGCTTTCATCGTGCACTCCATCATGGAGTGTTCTCTTACGGAATCTGACGATGGCGTTGAGGTGCTACCTGGTGAAAGCTTAGTTGATCTTGATTATGCTTGCGATTTCGTCTTGCTTTTCGATGATGTTGCGGCGACGCAATCAACTAGATAGCTTCTTCGGAGTGGTCCCATTATTTGATATGCGCTTCGCACCTTCAAAGTGCAAAATGTTGCTGCAGGACCACCAGCCACTTGACGACTCCTTGACCCTTGCTAACGAAGAATTCGAAGTGGCTGATCAATTCACTTATCTTGGCAGCTGCATCGGCAACGATGGGCGCATGGAAACTGACGTCCGCTTACGCACAGCAAAGACCAGAACTGCCTTATTGAACCTGCGGCATCTTTGGCGACAGAAGGGAGTTTCACTCCGTCTGTAAGGCCGTGTGTACAAGGCCACAGTGAGGGCCGTTCTGCTCTATGGTAGTGAGACTTGGCCCCTTCGGTCTGAAGATCTGAGGCGCCTTCAAGTCTTTGATCATCGTTGTCTGTGAAACATTGCTGAGGTCGGATGGCACCATCGTGTCCGCAACGATTATGTGCGTAGGCAAGTACTAGGTAGTGGTAATCATGCTAGCTCCCTAGAACACCAGATAGCACTGAATAAATTGCGTTGGCTTGGGCACGTGCTACGTATTCCTGGTCACCGCTTACCTAGAGGGACCTTGTTCAGCCTGCCATGTGTAGAGCGGCGCGAGGCTCGATGTGGATAGAAGTTAACGTGGTAGCGGGAAATGAAGTCACTGACGACCAAAATGGGTGCCGTTAGTCCGTCTTGGCTTCCGGGCTGGAGTCTAGGTGACTCGCCTTGTGTTGGGCTCCAGACTACAAGACATGGCTCGCAACCGACACCAGTTGCGCGTCTGCTGCCGTCTACTAATCGGATTGCCTCTTTAAAGTGTGTTTGATGCTGAGTTATCTGTGGGGTAATGGCTGATTATGAAGCGGGGCAGTGAAAGCTGCAAGGAAGTTTTCTCGTCGATGCCCCCTTATCTTTGCACGATAGCCAGCTGTTTGTGACGGTATGTTGTCTACACAAGGTGTACGCGCCTTGTCCCTGAATGTTTGCTTAGGGCATTAAGGTTTTCAGGTAAGTCCCCATTCTCTCCCTTTTATTTTTCTTTATTCCATAGGTCATCATGGTTGTATGGCAGAGGAGCATCAGTTCAAATGGCTGATGTTCTGTTGTTGTTGTTGTTGTTGTTGTTGTCCAATTGATTCACCATGGCTGTTGGGGTTTTCCAGCTTTTCTTATGTCTCATTTCCACTTTGTGATCGAAACGACCATAAATGTCTGTTCTCTTAGCGTCTTCCAATATGGAGGTTTCAAGTGGTGGCCAATCGACAAACCTTGAGTATGCGAACGAAATAGCTCTTCGTAGGATGGACCAGTTGTTATGCATATAGGCTCGATCCGTGGGCTTATAGGTTCACAAAGCTATCTTGTAATCCGTGGTCGCTGCCTCGAGCCTGCTTAGGGGATGGGCAGCAGGGCTGACACAGCTCTAGTGCTCACACCCCTTAGGAGGTTACTTCGCACATCAGCAGTGTTCGGGTGGCTTTTCAGAGGCTCTACTTTCTACGTCAGTGGTGTGTATACTGCTGAATACTTCACAAAATTATGGTAAACCAAAAGCAAATATCACTGCGCCAAGAATTAGTAGTATGGAACTATTAACAAAATCGGACGATGGCGGGCGGACAGTGGACCATATCAACGCCCCAGCGGAAGAAGAACGCTTGGGAGCCGCAAATATGTGCACCAAATTGGATACAAAAACAGCCCGCGTCACGCAGCCTCCAGGCTAAGGTGCGCGGAATGGTGGAACTTGGGGTGGTGAGGACTATTGCATATGGTTGTCGATACTTGCCACAATTAATGACTCTGTTCTTCCTAACTTATGGTCTTTGTTCATCGGGGCTTTCGGGGTTCTTTTCACATCTGGTGGAAATACCGAATGAGAAACGCTGAGATCCTTTGATTTGGGCTTGGCAGGAAACCTTCTGCTGCCTCGCTGAATGTCTGCTAAATCTAACGCTTAACATTCATTAGGTCATGTCATCCGTGTGTCCGTTGACCGCTTTCTTCGGTTTGCACCATATGTTACCACTGCAACTAGTTTGGCTAAACCACAAGATGGCCAGTTGATGACTTGGCATAAAAGCAACAAAGCATTAACTGGAGCACTTGGTCACACTGGTACGTGCCTTCTTCTTGCATGGGTGCCTCGGAATTGACTCCCTCAACGGTTGGGATCCTATCTGCAATTACGCAGTATCAAGGGCGATCCTGTATTTGCTTTTTCGCATCTAGCTGTTAAAATTATGTCCCGATAAATTTTGCTTGCTTTCATAACTTCTCTCTACGTTCCATTTCTCTTTTCTCACTTGCTATATATTGTTATCCTGGTGATGCGAGTCGTGGCAGCTGGACCCGGATCATAGCTGTTTAACTGAACCAAATTGTATATGCTCTCTTGCTCTTGGATATGTTAGGAATGTAATCTACTTGTCTTCGATAGTAACCACTTATGCATGAAAAAGTGAATTAGCAATGCGACGTTCATAAACACGTGGTTGGTCCGATTTCGCTCACTTTCTCCTTTTTTCTCGTTTTCAGCGTCTATCCGTTGTATGACTTCGCTTGTCCGATAGTCGACAGCGTTGAAGGTGTCACGCATGCCCTGAGAACATCAGAGTATAATGATCGTAACGATCAGTATGCGTGGTTTTGTGAAGCTCTTGGTAAATAACTCCACTGATTTTGCTTTTTTTGGTTCCATTTTTCCTTGAACGAAGGTTCATTCGCCTGACATTCCCTACACTTTAACTTTTACTTGCTCAATAATGACAATGTATTCCTCGGAAATGCAAGACACGGTCCAGTGAGGCTGGTCGGATCACTACACACAGGTTCCATTTGAAACTGTTAATGTACTTTGATTGTTCATTAGTAGCGAGAAATTTCAGTCAAATTTGCTCCCGGATATCAACCAGGTGTTTCCACGGAATATGAATTGTTCATTTAGTGACAGTCACCTCATCATAACGAATTTCGCTGCCAAAAGCCTCAAAATAAATTAACGTCATAAATATAAATGCATCACATTGCACAGGGAATTGCAAGGAACAGCGAGAAACTTTGACTGAATTGTAGATAATGTGACAATGAGTGGTGGGTTTCATGTGTACAAAACATACAGCGGAATCGATCTAGTTTATAGCGAACTCTTGTACATATTTCCGTAGGCTGGCCCACCGGGAATTATTTCGTCAAATATGTTGTAAATCTGTGTCGTCTATGACTAGCAGGTGCAGTACAGGTTATTCAAAATGAGTGCGTTGTATCGTATATCCGCAATCCGCATGTGAAGCATTTTCCTTACGCGATGCCGCAATTTGCGTCATGGCGAGTAACACATCAGTTTTATGATTTGACTTCCAACCTACATGTTTCATGGCCTTACTACTTCGGGGCTGCTTTCCTAACTAAATTGCATTCCGAATGTTGTGACATTGGTGACGCGTAATCCACATATATGCACAGTCTTTCGACTCTACAAGCCGCAACGGTAAGCATGTTCAGCTCACAGCTTCATCAGAAAGGCTGCTCCCGTAGCCTATTATCTAACTTAAGTTACCGCCGTTTGGGAGGATTGCGTTGCATTCAGGCTTCCGCGCTGGTGCCTTAGTCTCAGTGGATCAAACATACCATCCAGCACTTTCCATGTGAGGTGATTGTCCAATTCTAGTGTTACCACAAATTCTTCCAAAATCCAAAAACCGATGTCACTCGCTGTACGGCTTCTGTATACTATGTTAGCAGCCAATCTGTCGAACCTTCTGGTCCATCTAAGTTGTGCTCATCAAACTGGTGGTCTCTGGCGGACTCCTCGTCTTCTCAGTCAGTCCACGTCATTATCGTTGTTCACTTTCACGCGATATCTGCCTTTACCATTCCACCACAGCAATGTATCCGTCTGCGCGAATCTCTCCTCATTCCACCGTATCCATTTACCGTGTGCCGAAAGAGTAGGTGGACAATCATCACCCTAGTTAACTCCACTTTACACACTATGCTACACTTGTTAATTGGACATCTCAGCGATGGCAGGATTCGTATTGTGTTTCTCCCAACCTGGAGGAACTAGTTGAGTACCTACACAGTATTCAAATTCATTTTAACTGCACCGGCCACTTTTAAATTCTCCATGACCTTTTGGAGGGCATGCGAATCTTCTGTGATCACAATTGCTGTTAACCTCCTTGTCTTTTTCCTGCTCACTTGAGGTCGTGGTGACAGCGTTTCTACATTTAACACTGCGTGACCTTCTACCATCCTTTTTATCGCTTGCTCCTTAAGTAGTTGCCATTTTTGCATATTTTTGGAAGTCTTCTCTTTTTTCTCTCCTAGGTTTACGCTGTCCGATAGTGATCGATTATAGTCGCTTGGCTCTGCAAAACACCGTTCTTTCCAAGCGCAAATTGGCTTGGTTCGTGGATGAGGGCCTGGTAGATGGTTGGGACGATCCCAGAATGCCGACAGTTTCCGGCATCCTCCGGCACGGCATGACAGCTGAGGGTTTAAGGCAGTTTGTTTTGGCTCAAGGCTCTAGTCGTTCCTCAGCTCAGATGGAATGGGACAAGATTTGGGCGTTTAATAAAAAGGTTATTGATCCAGTTGCACCTCGCTTCACTGGTTTGTTAATGGATCCATCCGTTCCTCTTCGGGAAACAGCACCACACGGTCTTGTTCCGGTTCTCGTTCACGGACAGGACGAAACAACTAAGAAACAGGTAGTTTTCTTTGCAATTTTGCCGTTAAACTTTTTTGTTTAGTCCTGATGTACGTTTCTGTTCACTTTAACTTCTGCTCTTCAGGTTCCAGTGCATCCGAAGAATGCACAGCTAGGACAGCGGACTGTTCTTCTAGGGCCGCGTGTATTTGTGGAGTATTCGGACGCTGCTTGTTTCAGGGTAGGCGAAAACGTGACCTTCATCAACTGGGGCAATTGTCGAGTGCTCAAAGTCCATCGTGATGGGGATTTTGTTACTGAACTAGAAGTTGAATTAAATTTAAACGATACGGTAAGTTTCTGAGTTTTATATGCTCCTTTTACTATGGCAAATTCTGTAAGCGCCCCCTACATTCGTATATTTTCCAATGACGCTAATGTTAGGAGTACCTTCGAAGAAATATATATCGATAAAAGTCCAACTTCTTCCAGAAATCAGTGGAATAACCGTATTGCTTGATCAGACGAACGTTCTTGGATAATCTAATGCTATTAGTAATAAGAAAGGGATAGTGGTGTAAAGTAAAAATTCAAGGAGGTCATCGGAAACATATGAACAACAGTAGTCTGCGCCATGTAATTTGCGGCCACTAATATTGTGAACGAAATCTCGCCTTGTTCCTCAGCCACAAGGATCGGACGGGTTCAAAACAGGCAATCTGAGTGGCACGGCGCGATTTGTTGACAAGTACAGTTATGTTCAGCAATGTCTATTTTCACAGATGGGTGGAAATTGTGTTGTTTTACGTTTCTATCACAGCCATACTATTAGGCAGTCATCATACACCTATCTCCATCAAAAAATTAACCCGAGATGTCCTCACACCACCACACCATCTGTTATTAGTTTTACACATTTTGCATTATCCTGGTGTTCGGTCTGTTGCTTTTCTTGTTTACTTCCCCCAACCGCTTTCACGTTTTGTTTCGTTTTCAATTTTTGTGTGTATGCTTTCATTCTTTTCCCTTCTATTTCCCTTAATTGTGTTTAATAATGTTATTGGAGGGTCATATTGAAGTACTCGTGTGAATGGATTACGACACGCAGTCTCAATGCAGACCGCGATTCACATTGAAGTGAAACTTGGTCAATACGATCACGGGCCAAGGCTGCAGTAGGTGGAACTTGGGTATTGCTCGAGTCACTGCAACTGAATCCTTAGTGCTTCACTGTTCCGATCAACGGAACAATTGCATTAAAAACTTCCTTCTAACTTGGCTGCCTAATGTTTGTTTGACGCGTTTTCCAACCTCGCCACCTATGGTCTGCACATTCTTCCACAACATGCTTCACATATGCTTTCATCAAATACGCACCTCGTCTCTATTCTGTGATCATCCACTAACTTATCCCTCTCGGTGTAAGTTGTAATGATCATTTGCAATGGAAAAAATACACGCAACACGGCATCACAGCTACAAGATCCAATGAATGTTGTGTAAGTTCACTGGTGTACAAACTGCTAATTGTCTTTGCTACTGTACACCTGCGAACTTTGAACACTAGTTCACTTCGGTTTTGTTCTATTGCGAATAAAAAGCGCTGGCCGATGGATACGATGTTTGGGGGTCGCATTTTGCGACCTGCAATTGCGCTCATGCACGTGGCAATCATTCTGTTCATTCCCAATTCTTGCTGTTCTCTGGCTTGACTTCCACTACCGACGGATAAAACCGGCTTCATTCTTCTACGTCTTCATCTTTGATCTTCATAATATTTTGCTTACCAGTGCCTTCGTGTTCATCTGACAGTCTACATGTATTGAGCTCTCCCCGTGTTATTCTCTTCCCTTCGGTGACAGGCCTATCCACTGCACCTGTGTATGTGTGCCGGCTTTATAAATGATTTAGTCAGCTTATCCAGTAGATCTTAGTGATACTCAGCAATGCATGTGTTCTTCACCTTCCCAACTGACAAGTGAGAACAGTTCGTTAATGAGAAAGCCTACCCGACTCCCGATTCAACACAGGAGCTGGAATTGTTGTTGCTTGTTTGTATATTTGTGTTTCGCTGTTGACACCTATCCACAGCTCCTCATGACTGGGTATCGGTATCCCGGCTTTTTTTGGCTCACTTGCGTTATCCACGGGTTGCAGTGTGATGGGGATTTACTTTGAGAGACATTGCATTTTGTCATCTGATCTTCGTGATTCATTTGGTTGTTTTTTATATTTTCTCTGTTCTTCTACGTCCTTCGTAGTTGGTGCACTTTTTTCCTCCCTTTACACAGGACTACAAGAAAACACTGAAAGTAACTTGGCTTACCGATCCGGGTTCAACTGGCCCCGCCTTGACTCCAACTTCCTGTCTTCTGTACGGCCATCTGCTAACCAAAGCTGTCATCTCCAAAGACGATGACTTTAAGCAACTATTCAATCATTCCTCAAAGGTGAGCAAACTTCCATTTTAGTAAATATTTTCCATAAACTTTGGCTTCTCGTTTTCTTTAATCATTTTTTTTATCGCACGTCTCCACACTCGGTGTTCCCTAGGTTCTCCCCCTTTGTTCGGCTGTCTGCTCAAAATATTTATGGGTACCGACTGTTTTTATTCCGGTGTCGGTGCGATGATTTACGACGTGGCTGTGTAATCCAATTGAGCTACCTTGGTTTCTGCTTTTAAAGTGTCTTCTCGGCTACAGTGAATTAGGGGTGTATCAGCAAACCACAAGGTTTATCACAGGCCATTTATGCTCATGAAATACACAGCTTCCACCTTTGTGACCTAATACTCCTGCCTTAGAAGAAGAGTTGCTGCGAAGAGATCTCTTTTCGATAACTCTCCTCAGGCATTTACAATTATGAGAAAACTTGATACAACACGAGAGGCTGTCTAAAGCTGCAGTAGTGAATGGTTAGGTCACAATTCCACGGAAAGTCAACGAGGCAATCAATCAATGCCATCAGGTGGTAAACATCACGTGCTTTCACACCCCAAACTAAAAGGCAAACAAAACAAGAAAGAAGTGGTTGGTTTGGCGGAAAAGCTCACAGTTATTCCTGGACATGGGTAGGTACGGACGACGTTAATCGTTCCGGCCAAGGCAGTATAAGCGCTTGTACAAGTGTCCTCTGCTTGCATAACTCCGGTTGCAGCAGCATACTAGCCATTGCTTCCGAAGTAGCCAACAGGCGCTTCCTATGTGCTTTTAGGTTGCGTTTAGATACGGTGTAGAGAACTCTGAAAGCGTCATCGGTCCGAACATGATGCCCCGTACTAATCAGGTGTTCAAGGACGGAGCTGTGGGCATTCTTAACTGTGCCGTACCCTAAATGGGGGGACAGTGTTCCGCTATCCTCTCAGACAGACGCCTGGTCGTGTGTCCGAGATACCTGACACCACAGGCGCAGGTGAACTTAACGGCAACGAAAGATTCGGAACGAGCCTGGAGTCTATCTTTGAGGCTTTTAGTGATAAAGGGAGCAGTCTCGGCAAGATGGGGGACTCTTGCAGCCGGATATGTTGGGTTCACAGCAACGGACAATCTTTTCTTCAGTAACTTGTATGCGATATCTCCTTTGAAGGGAACCGAAATGAAGACTTCCTTTTCCTTTACCGTTGGTATTTCTTTAGGTTGATCAGAAACAGCAGAATGCTTGTGGATACATGTCGTATAATAACCGTTGTTTTATAGCGGTGTGAGATTAAAATTCTTCTCGGCATCCAATGTTTCTGGACTGCAGACTTTTGTGGCGCGATAGTAAAGATTGAAAGAATGATTCAATCATGGTTACGAAACTAAGGAAATGCGTGTACTGGCCAACCCACGTAGATTTGCGGAATACTTTCCTCTCAAGCAATCCGTCAGCTCGCCGCCGCAGTAACACGTCCAAAAATGAGATGTCACCGTCGTTATCTTTTTCACAAGTGAATTTTAACGGTGCATGCACATCGTTGAACTGGTCAAGTAGGTGGAAGTGATCAATTTGTGGGTCGCATACGATGAAACTGTCGTCCATGTATCGTCGATAGAAATCAAGGGACGCAATAAGATTCCAACTAGGACCGCGCTCAAATTGTGCGAGGAAAAAATCGGCAAGAAATGGCTCTAAAGGATGCCCCATTGCAACGCCGTCTATTTATCAGTAGTATTTTCCATCGAACGAGAATCGTTTGTTAAAGGTGCAACGCAGAAGTAATTCCTTAACTCGTTGGACCTGCCTTATTTGGGGCCGCAATCATCTGCCATGCTTCTCATTCTGTATACATAGGTGAAGCCGACTTTTGATACACCTGCACCCCTGTTCCTCCTGCACATCATCGTTTTAAATCATTTCAGTGAGTACAGTGGATCTGCACCTTATAACTTTTGCTTGCAACCCTTTGGTTATCCTGTTGTCACAGCGAACTTGATAGTACGCGGATATATCACCAGAACTTTTTCGCTGCCTGAAACATGACTTGAGTCATTCAAGATAATCGTACGGCGGACTTTGAAATACTGCACTTTCGTTCACAGCCAAATGAGAAAGACAGAACAGCTCTGAAAAATGTCCAAGCTGCTCATGGGGCGTTACTCAAACCTGAGTTATTTTGATCGCTGTCGACAACTCCAAATGGCTCCTCTTTAGCCGAGACACTTAAAGAACAATCTCCTTTCCAACATTATTAACCACCAACGGGTTTACGCAGATGGCACTAAACTTTAGCTGCGGAAGGCTGCAATCTATTTCACACGAAATGGTGGCTATTTGCTATCCTCAAATCTAGCAACACATAAAACTCGATTGAATTTCTTCTTAGTGAGATACACCGATGTGGGGAGCCAACTACCCCTACAAATACGCATGAGTACAACCCGTCACATTTCGAAATTCCCTGCAGAATTTCCTCACTGTATCAAATGTGTTGAAGATCTTTGGATCTCAACAAACTCTAGCAACATTGACGGAAGCTGGTATAAATAACATATGCGCAGCTGGTTGCTTACAATCCTCTAGCCCACTTCATGTCATTATCTACAAACCCAAATCCTGTGTCTGTGCAACCTATTATCCCCTGTTTTTACTATCTACTCTTAAGTTTCACAAACGAAAATGTTGCTACAGTTATCGGTACATTATACATATTAGGTGCCCAAATCTAGGACCCGAGGGAAAATTCATGATCTGAAATTCTATTATTCAAATTTATTTTACTATTATGAACTTATGTCGCATAACCCATGAAACCTATTCACTGTACAAATGACCGCTCACGCTTATTGGGCCATGTACCGCTTGTCGGTAAATATACGAATATACTTATTTATTTAATGCTTGCTAGGTGGACTCCATTGTAACTTCGTTACTGTTATCTAAAAAAGGGAAAAGCACCAGTAGTATATTTGTACGCACCACCGAAGCCTCATTGCATTCGACCACCAGCTTTGTAGTTCGGACAGGGAGTACCTCGCACTTACACGCAGTCTCGAACCGTCTAAATCACTCGGCCACCGACCGGTCCGTGTTTTGTATAAGAACTTCAGCATATTTCCTGTTTGTTGCTTTTATCCTCCAGATAGAACAATGTCTACTGGGCGACCACGACCTACGCTACCTCAAGAAAGGTGATATCATTCAACTTCAGCGTCGAGGGTACTATATCTGTGATATGCCATATGATCCAAAGTGGTATGTCCCCGATTAATCTATCACTTTTAAGTCATTTAATTGCTCATCCGGACACGAAAAGTTACCCAGTATATGTCGAATTATGCTATCTTCACATCACGATTTGTTAGTATGTAGCGTTTGCACGTAGGTGTCCCATCATGGCTAACATTAAGATGCCACTCGTCTTTGGTCACCTGTGCTTGTAGGACATTTCTTACGTATGGGTGAAACACCAAAAGCTTAATGACGTTACTCACCTGTCGGTTTTTACCTACATGCCTACTGGCATGTTTCACTCGGATCTCCTACGATAGCCGAGTGGCATGCTTCCTTTGCATGCTCGATCTCTCGAAAACACGGTATTGTCTTGCAGCAACATGAAAAAATTAACCGAGGGATGTGGCCGGACTGGCACGTTGTGAGGCAGGAGCCTCGTGATCGACCATTTCATCGGTTAAAGACATGACACAGTCGCCGCTGCTGCTTACCATTTCCATTCTATTACTTTTTTATTTATCTTTTTACTGGCCGTTTGTTCATTTCGTTCTTTCTGACACCATCTTCTCCATTGTTCGTTATTATCTGCGCAGCGATGTGAGTAGTGGTGCATATATCAATTTTCTACCTACTTCCGGATAATCCCGTTAAGTCAGCGCCCTGAGTGTGGACTCACAGGCAGTTAGTCATGCATGTGTTACAGTATATTCATCCTTTATTGAACTCTGCATTTGGTTCGCTTGATCACAACTATTTATAACACTTCCTATCGTTGAAAGGGGTCTTTGCATCATGTCTGCTGAAAACCCTGCATAGTTCCCTGCGGCCAGTGTGCTGCAACATGTACCACCCTATCTCTTCTCTGCATCTTCGGTCTCGAAGTGATCTTGACCATGTGCTGTCTGGCTTTTCTGGGCTTGAATTTCCGTTGAATGAATGGCATACTCGGTGTTGAATTCGACTCCCATGCGAACACTTCTTACTAGTCTGTTGCTGGGTTTGGACGCCTCGGCATGTGCTTCAGGTCTGCAAACTGAATGGTACTACTGCACACATTAGTCATTCCGGTTCTCACAATTGCCTAATGGTGAATCGGTTTCTTCATCTGAGCATCCTCTTTGGTTGTTAAATCGCAGATAATGTGTTTTGATTCAGCCCGTGTGGCTTTTCTACTCCTCACTCCTTAATGGAGATTACGATACATTAGCTTACCGGTCAGGCGTAGGTTCCGTAAGGCTGCAATGCGTTAAGTATTACTGCACGTATCGATGCATTTAGTAGGACAACTATGACCCGACCACCAAAGTGCAGTGCATCCAGTTTCCACGACTCACACCGTAAGAATAATGACGGTGATGGCGGGGTTGCATGCAACTAGCATGTAAAGGAAGTGGAAGCAACTCGGAAATGCCTTAGTCTAATCAACATGAAACGAAAATTAACCACCAGATGCAAAAAACCGAATGCAGGAACGCCACTGACTGCGTGATTGCGCCATGTCTGATACGGTCTCCAACCATTGATGTGGACCTTCACGAAGAAGGCACGCAGCAGCATGACCAAGTCTCAGTCAATTTCTTTATGCCTCTATTCCACGTCGTGGACTGGCCACCTCGCTGTTTCGCCCATTTTGGCGCGGCCACGGCGTAAAATGCACGCCGAGGAAGCCGCTCAATCGCTTACGAAGGACATCGTAAGCGATTAAAGTTCGGCGAACTCGAGTGAGGTACCAGAAGATTTCTTGCCAATAAACCAGCTGTTGAACCTCAGCATTGCTCACCCGGTGTTCCCAACAGACAGCAATGCTCCGCAAGCACCGGTGATCAAACCCGGCCAAACGTTTAATATCTTCGCCGCGAACTGGCAAGGTCTCCGATCCATACAGTAAGACCGGCCTTACCGCAGCGTTATACACCCTGCCTTTCACTGACAGACGGATACCCCACCGCCTCCAAAAATGGTTGTGTCTGGAAAGCCACACTAGCTTTGCTGATACGCGAAATGACTTCCTCAGCGATGTGACCACCAGAGGTGACACGGCTACCGATTCGCCACTTCTAGTAGCTGTTCGGTGGTAGTTAGAACCGGAGGTGTGTCGATCCAGTCCTGCAACAGCACTTTGAAGGTGCAAAGCGCGCACCGAATCGTGCAGCGCTATGCACAAGTCTGTGCACTAGTGTTTGCATAATCATTGCATCAGACCCCACGGGAACTGTCGTCCGCATACCCCACGTTTGTCGGTCGGTCACCTGGCAGAACTACCACTCCAAAATAGTCTGCAAGAACCGAGTCATTTATGATCGTTCCAATCCCTATTTATCGTGGAGAATTTGGGAGACAGTTTCCCGTAGACCCTTACACGGCCTCAGGAATCACGGTAGATGGATTGCATACTGGAAAAGAATTTAGCTGACACGCCCTTCATGGATAGGCAGTGCCACAAGCTGGTGCGGTCAATAGAGTCGAAGACGGCTCTCAAGTCAAGGAAAAGCACCATAGTTGCTCGTCTGTACATGTGTCTCTGCTCTAAGACTTGGCGAATAGTAAATATGAGACCGATGCAACTATTTCTAGGGCGTGAGCCAGTCTAACTTTCAGTGATTCGTTCATCATGGGGCTAGTATGTCGTCGGAGTATGATACCTGTGTGTGACATTGGAAACAATACTAATGCCTTGATGATTTTCGCACAAAGTACGCTGACCCTTTTTGAGATTGGACACGACAGTTGTTAGTCGCCAATCTGAAGGCACATTTTCAGTGTTCCAAATCGTATTAAAAAGAGAAGCAAGTGCAGTCAACAAGGAGTCATCTCCATCTTTCAACAAAGATGGAGAAGATCGTCGGGTCCATGAGTCTTGTTTCGTTACAACACGGAAGCTCATGTCGAATGTCTTTCAGGGTGGGAGGTGTGATATCAACTTTCCATCTCAGTTCAGGTGATTCGGCAAGCGGCGCAGCTGCATCCCGCTTGCTCACTTACTTTCCATGATGTTCCGCCCAACGGGCTAGTCGACGAAGCTGAGGATAGATCTACTGTCCATCTCTCTTAGCTGTTGTCTCACTAACTGATGGCTTTCTGGGACCGGTGTTCCGGATGAGCTGGAATAGCACTCGGCTGTTTCCAATAACACTGGCTTTCTCCATCTGACAAGCTTTTGGAACCAGTGTTCCCGGTGAACTCGAAGACTCCTTGTCATTGAGTTACGGACACGCTGAAACTCAGTACCTATTTTAACCTGCTTACTTGCTTCGATCAGAGATCCATTCACAGTTACGACATCTCAAGTCGGGTGCACAGCAAGCGTCAATGGCATTCTTCGTGGTACACTTGGGACGACCCCACTTAGCATTCGGCTCACTAAACTCATCCATCACTGACAGTTGGTGGGGTTCGCAGAACTCGATCCTTCAGGAACAAACAATTTATTCGGCAATGCAAGCTCAGCATAACCAGCATGTTGAAACCTCGATGCTAATGACTAGATCGATTCCATAACTAACGATGCTTCTGCATTCACGAGATTCTTCCTTTGAATCAGCGAAACAAATCCGCTCTAGCGTAGCCAAATACGAACCAGTCAACACATAGGCGAAATGTACGTAGGCGTCCAATCAATTGCTCTGTTCGTTTGCGGCAATGTAGCCGCTTACTTCGTCATGTAAGTTCGTATGTTTCTTCTTTTTGCACAATCCCATCACATCCTTCTTTTTTCGGGTTTAGCTACTTCGGTGTTGCCGAAGACTCCGTACGCTCTTCCGCTCCGCGCCGTCTTCGCTGCCCCTGTCGTTGTGACCCCTCCGTAATCTGTCATGTTCTTTGCAGCAGGTTCATTTTCTCGTCCTAATTTTCGCCTCAGCTGCACCTAGTTCCTTCTGATTCCCTTCTCTCCGGTACTGACTTCATAATATCTTTCACCCATCTTCGCGGTCACCGCACCTTTCTTCCATCGTTCACTGACACCCGGTATTGGTTGGATCCACACTTCATCATTTGCTGATAGCTCCGGTAGCGCCCGGGTCCCGCGGTCCTAATACCGTTTCTGATCCGCCATCCGTTTTCTTAGGCCCCTTTGCAGTTGTTCATGCGATGGATGTAAGAGTTCTGCAGGTACAGGTATTAGGGTTCTTTAGTGAATGGATATTTCTCGATTGTGCGAGTTACAGTCCAACTACTCGGATTGATCATTTAGTACAATATGCCCTCAAAGTGCAGATGTTTTTTCAGATTTTTCGGAAAAATTCAAAATCAGGTTCATGGGGAGTTTAATTAGTATAAATGCTAAAAAGAATAAATGTTTAAATTCAGGATGAAAGTGATTATTGGACAAATTACAATATAATTAGTGCGGCTATTCGTGGAACCGACTGCTGGGGACCTGCTTCCATGCCGGGTTATTCCCTCGAAGGGTTTCATCCGCACTTCCACTTCCCATTTAGCTTGGTCTCGGTGTGGCATAACAGCAAGCAAGCCAACATCATACTAGCTTTTTCTATACTTCTTCTTCTATATAAGTGAGCTCTCATGTTTTTACTACTCCTTTAGGCAATTCAGCCTATTTCGGCTTCTGGTTCTTTCAAGTCTGACATCTTTTCCACTCTAAGCGTATGTGCCAATTTGCTTTGAGTAGTTATATTTTTTCTCAGCAGTAGGTCTGTGACAATTCGCCACACGTGGGTGTATTAAATAATCCGGAGGCTTTATTCCGTCATCTCAGGAGATTAGCCCACTCGCAGTCAACAATTGAAAAAACTACAGAAGGTGGCGAAATACAAATGATGATAAATGAATGGTATATGTCCGACAATTTCTACTTCAGCTTGTTAATAGGGAATACATAGAACAAATAACAATAAGGAAAAACGGCTCTATGAACGATTTTGTGATAAATCCAGCGACTCCAGACAATTGAGTTGTAGAGTAGATGGCATCAGGAGCACCAGGAGCTGACTCAGGTAGTCGAGTTTTTTTTCTACGGAAAAGCAGTGATGACCATTAGCGATGCGCAGCAAAGTAAGGAA